GGAAAGACACACAAACTCCACAAACTCACACCCGAATCAAAAAAAAGAAGAAAAAAAGCTGCACTCCTGCGCAGGACGCCCTCCCTTCCTGACTTTGTCTTTCCCGTGTTATCTTCTAGACACACTCCTGCACTCACTGTTTTTTGTCCACATACACACAAACGATAGCCAGATGCTGCCCTTTACACCTCCTCCATCAGCTGCTCCTCCCACAGCAGCAGGAAAGCTGTTGTCCTCTTACTGCAGCCCTTTTTGTCGGAAGTGGTCCACTTAAGTCCTGGATAAAGGCCAACACACACGCACGCACACGCACACACACACACACACACACACACACACACACAGTCATTAAGGGAAGCAAAGCCTGCAGTAATGATGGCTACTTTAATTAATTATATGAAGATATACATGTGAAATCATGCATGTGTGGTCCCTTCTCTGAAGACGGCTTAAACGAATTATACTTGTGTGTGACAGAAAAGAAGGCGGAAGCGTGCTGGAAGCTGTCAGAGGAAGTTTAAAAATGTGTGTGTCTCGGACCGTGTATGTGCGTTTGTATCTAGGTGCTTCTGATCAGCAGCAAATGTCATCAAACTGACATCCTGTACTGATACAGTGAGAAAAGTCACCCAGAAGGAGACAATGATGTTTCTATGTTTAGAGCTTTTGCTTCATGAGTTCACTTTCGGTGAAATTTACAGCTACATTTCACAAGATTAATAACGACGTCAGCCTTCGGGGCATCACGGTGTTAGACTGCAACAAAGGAGAACATCCTGTCTCATTATGATTTATCTATTTGTTTGAATTAGATTCGGCTGATCAATTCTTTTAGCAGTGGACTCATCCATAGTGTTTTCCTGCAGCGTGGAAAAAGCCATAAAGCATATGGCTAAATGAACTGCGCTGACATTTTGTGGAAAGTTAAGAGCCAGAAAACACTTTAGTTTGATTCGCTTTTCAATTTGAATCGATTCTTCATTTCAAATGGGGCCACAAATTTTCACTGTGACTCCAGTTCAGTTCCTGTCCTTTGCCCACTGCGAACAACTATGTTCTGATGTGGGTCATTTTCTCACTGCCTAAAAAACAAGCAGACAGAGGAATGTGGCAATTAAAATAACTTGAGAGCACAGTTTTCTTTTTCTTTCTGTATAAACATATTTCCACAACCCTATTTATTTACGAGGTTGAGAAAGTAGATGGGTGGAAGGATATTTTGATATTCAATTTGATTTAATAGGTTGACACAGATGCAACAAAAGACTTGATAAGATGTGTAATGCTTAAAAAACACCTGGTCAAACAAATTAGCATCCTAGAGGGGCTGCGTCCTCCAGAAGTGAAAATGGGGAGAGGATCGCCAATCTGGCAAACACTGTGGGCAAACTGGATGCTGTGAATTTTGGGGTTTCATCATCTACAATTCAACAATAGATCAATAAAAGATTCAAAAATCATTAATGAGTGTTTTTAAACTCGAGGTAGGCTACTCAAGGAGCCATGCATTAGAAACAGATTGCGATTCTGCAATTTAACGCACTAAAAAACCACACTGCTTAACATCGCCATCAACACTGTCCTGGAAATCTGAGACATTCCCAGTGCTTGATAGATCCATCCATCCATCTGAGTCAATTTGTTTAAATTTCAGTAAACCAAAATATTTTGTCACATCTACTTTTAGGTTTTAGTTTCCTTTTAGTTAACTACAATAATCTTGTTGTTATCATACTTAGAAAAGTGCGACATTGACTCAAATGCAATTTTATAGTCATCAGTTAAGCTAACACAGGATGCTAGAATACCTGGAGAGAACACAACATGAAATCTTCTTAAAATCAAAAGTATTGAATTATACGGAGCCCCACAAGGGACACGGGGGAATATAAAAATTAAGACGAACTTTTGCGAGATGTTGCAAAGTTTTGCGAGATCTTCGAACTGGTAGATAAGACATCTCCGAAAACGTCGGAGCAATTTTGTAAATATGCGATGTCTTGATAAACGGAGCAGATATTTGAAGTTTTCACAGCTACATTCTGAAAATATCTTAAAAGTTTATTTTGTGACCCAGAAATGATAATATTAAAACTAAGTAGCTGCCGCCATTGTTGGAAACTGGAATTGGCTGGGCTGCACTATGAATTCTGGGCGACGAAAGCTGTCCCAATTCGAAAGCTTAGTTTTAATATTACTCTTTCTCGGTCACAAAATAAACTTTTAAGATATTTTCAGGTGAGAAGGTATCTGTTTAAACTTAAAATATCTGCTCGGTTTATCAAGACATCACATATTTGCAAAAGACGTCTGTTACTCACCAGTTTGACGTTTTGCGAGATCTCGCAAAAATTCAACTTATTTTTTTTTTCACCATGTCCCTTGCAAGGCTCCATAGTATTATAATAGAGGTTATCTGTCCTACAGATAAAGCTTGGCTTTAGCTATGCCATGCACAGTGGTGTTGTGTTTAGCACTGTAGCTTTACAAAACTCCCAAGTTTGAGTCCCCTGAGATTAAATGATATTTGTTTCAATAAGACGCAGTGGATGCAGTATCTAAATAATATACCTTGTATGTATTGTCCAGTAATGGGTTTAAATGTAGCTCTTGTCTTTTGAAAGTTGGAGTGCTGCATGATGTTTTGCCAGCATTAATTATGAAAACTTTTGTGTTTTTTGAGTGCTTCTGTGGCAGACTTTGAACAGAGTCATCTGCTTCTACTTTTTCCCCCAACTCTGCGCCTTGCTTCTCGTAGTTAACTCTCCTCAGAGACAATTTAGGCAGCACAGCCACGATGAGAGGGAGAATTAGCAGCCAATTACAGCCAAATAGACTTGCTGTGGATGTGGAGCTCAAGAGTGTTTGGAAAATAGTTTAATTTTGTGTTTCGCAGCAAGATATCCTTTAAAAAATATCTTTGTGCAAGATTACTTAAAGTCACTTCTTCCTCACCTGCCTCTCATCGTAAATAATGCTTCCTTTCATTTGGCTTTAAAATAGATCTAAGAAAGTGTGTCAAATTCATGTTTTGCTGATGGGTATAACACAGCAGTGATTCAACAAACACGCATTTACCTTCCACACTCTAATGAAGGTTTTTCCACATTTCAGTCTAACCCGTAGGGTGACCCTTGCTCTCAGAGCATCGAAGATCAGCAGATGGTCTCTTGGCAACAACTGAAAGAAGTCAAGGGAGCAAGCAAACAGACTGGATTTGATTTACTCGGTGAAAGGACGAATGCTTCACTGTCAGCAAATCTTTACCAGAACTGCCTGTTTAAAATCTTTTCATATCATTTGATTGAGAATAATAATGGCAATTAATTATTGATTTGGGTTGTTTATACTCAAGGTGTAACTGACTTAGATTTAGGTGAAAAAAGAAGTCAATGAGGTGAAGACACAGTGACAGGAGGTTGAATGTCAAACTTGAATGGAAAAAGTCACATATTTTCTGTGCTTTTAAAAAGTCTATTTAATGCACAAATGCAGAAAAGGAAAGTGTCATGGTCGGCTGTGTGGCAGGCAGGCTGGAGTGGTGGACCCAAAATGCAGGACTCTTTGGAGACAAGATTTAAACTGAAAACGCAGCCTTATTGCTGGACAAACATCTACATAAAATAAGACTCACAAAAGCAAAACAAAACTCTAAACTGAGGTGCTGGAGGACTGGAAATCATGAACACACAGCAAGTACAACGCAACAGGGAGCACAGGAAAACACAGGGCTTATATACACCGGGGAGTAATCAGGGAATAGGCAACAAGAGGGAGACACAGCTGGGAGAAATCAGGCTAACAAGACAGGGGAGAGGTAAAACTGAACGCACTGACATGAGACATGAACTTTCAAAGTAAAACAGGAAACCAGAAACCATCACACACAGACTCAACACTGAGAGGCAGACAGAAAATAACGCATGGAACCCAAACTATACATGAGGCAACAAATCCTTAAACACGAACAAACAGAAACCTAGAAATCCAATAACGATCAAAGCACAAGAGTATCAAAGGGCAGCCCATAGTGCAAAAATAAACCAAAACATCAGAAACTCAAAATGCTGGGTCGAACCGACCCAGAACCGTGACAGAAAGAAAGATAAGGGTCTACGGGTAAAATAACGTGATTTTGAGGATTTGGTTTGAAAAGCCCCATGAAACACCTCTCATACAAGGTCAGTGTGTGTGTTGCTGGTTAACTACACATAACTAGTTTAAAAGTTTCTAAAGCGTCCTGACGATCCTGCAACAGAGTAATGATGCAGTGTTTGAGTCACCTCCGGGTCAGAAACGTCTAGCCTCCAGTTTTCAAAGTATTATAAAACTATTATCAAAGTCCTTTGGCAGGAAAACTCAGGTAGAAGCAGAAAAGAGGTTTCCAAAGAAACATTTAAAGTCTCAGACTCACTGTAGATATTGCAGTTCACTCTGAGGGGGTTATGAATACTTTGACAAAAGTGTTTGAGATGTTTCACTGAAGACATCAAGGTGAACGTCACTGGCGATGCTGAAGAAAAGAAAAATGTGACCTACAGTAATCGTGCATGCAGATTTTATAGTTTTTCGCTTAAATGGGGAAATCCTTGATTTCCCAGGGGCATACAAGGAGGTATCAAGGGACCCATCCCCTGGGCACCATGAATGTGTGTGCTGCCATGATAATCAATTTGGTAGTTATTGTATTTCATTTTGAACAGCTTCTAAGTGATGAACTATAGATTATGCACTCAAAATCTGCAGTCGTTAGAGCGGAAAGTAAATTTGAAGTTTAGTCTGAACCATAGACTCACTCACCTCTCTACAAAGGAAATGCTTTAATAATTCCTGTTTTGTTTACATATGAAGTTACAGCTTTCTGGAAAAATCCAGCATCTAGTGCAATAGTTTGTACAGATGGATAAAACTGCTCTGAATGTGTTGCGCGCTGAAATATTAACATGATCCACAAGCCAAATAATCAGATGTCTCCGTCTTACTCTCGCTCCTCTCTGCAGGTCGTGGGATGAGTTCCATGACTGCGCTAACGTGGCGATGGCTGGCTGTCCCGAGGAAGCGGCAGCTGTCTGGGAGTCTCTCCGCCAGGAGTCTAAGAAAATGCAGTTCTCCGGAAACCTTTATGACATGTGCTCCAACCGTAACACCCACCCAGCGGCCTCGGTGTCCCCTAACGGCTCACCCAACCAAGAAGAGATCAACCAGGAGTCTCTAAGAGGGAGGGCCTATCACGTGGCAGGCTGCCTCCACTATCTCCTTCTACTGTCTCCTCTGCTGCTGCTGTTGTTGTTTTGGATATAAATACCCCCAAAGAAATGGGATTAGTGTGAATAGATATAAACTTTGTGTACTTTTTCTTCCACGATTCCATAGACTTTTCACTGCTTCTTCCTCTGCTCTGCCAGGGGTCGAATATTTCTAACTGCATGTTCAGAGGCTCGACAGTCTTTTTGATAATATATCTCTAAATTGCCTGTGCCGTTTCATGCATATTCTCTGCCTATTAATTAGATTCTCAGTTGAAAGAAAGCTCACAAAACTCACCGAGAGATACACAAGCCCTGCAAACACATACATAGTTGAGCAGATGCATACTGCAGCCTCGCATCATCCGTCTTTATCCTGTATCCTTCTAAATCTAGTTAGTACGAGCTTGCATGTGATGGTTTCAGGGTGAGTCTGTCTCCTTGAATGCAATAAGATAAGAGATTAATAAGAGAAATGTAATAACTAAGACTTGTTTGATAAACTTGAAAACAAAGCGATGAAAAGACTAGGTGCCACAACTAGTTACTGTTAACCCCACTTTTATGTGGGCTTTACATGATGAACAACACCTATTTCCTATTTACTAAATGCAGACACAGTGCTGGGTGTGAGTAGTTAAGATATAATGATGGTGATGATGATGTAGTTCTAATGTTCCGAAATTAGTTTTTCAGACTACAAAGTAATTGGAGTCATAAATTACACTTGCTGTAAATGGAGCTAACTTTGAAGCTAACTAATTTTGAATAATGTTCTTATTTAGAGAAAATGCATCACAGTGTCTTCTGTGGGTGCAGGAGCAACACGAGCTCTGAGCTGAAGTTCAATTGAAGTCAGAGTATGCCGGAGTGGTTTTTATTTGCTGCTTGCTCAGTTATGAAGTCCTCTGGGGCTCCTCCTTGGCATCCTGCATTGGAGCCCTACAGTATGGGACCAATATGTTCTCCAGTCAGAAACACAACCCACTTGCATGCCAAGTGGATTTCATGCTCCAGGAGTCATAGATTTGGCCCTGCAGGCCTGCTTGAGCTGCTTGTTATTCTAAGTGGTTGCAGGTAACAGTTGTTTCTGTCTGGCCCAGGATCAGATATATTATGAGATTAGAGACAGATAGAGAGTGAGAGAGATGAGTACAGCTGGAAAACATACAGTTCTGCCTAGTTGAAGATTGAATCCACTTGTCTCGCAGCGAGTGTGTTTTACACAGGGGGCTTTAGGTTGCAGGTTTACTTTTCCTTCTCTACAAAAAAAAAAAAAAATCAAAGCCAGGTCAACTTTAAAGAGTTACGCTAAGATATGTGGATGCACAACACATAATCCTCAAGGGACCACAACAGTGCACCAACTTTAAGAGAGGTGGAAATAAATGAAATTTATTAGACAAAAAAGATCCAAAGAGAGCTGCGTAATAGCTGATTGAGTCTGTCTACCTTGCCAGTGGCAAGTTCGTTAAATGTACCTTACAGAGTTGAATAGAAGCCGAGAGGCATTTCAAACAGATTTATGGATGGGTGACAAATGAAAGAAAAATGCAACATAAAGTGCGTCTTGATTTTCCAAGTCTCTGGCACTCTGCTTGAGGGATGAAACATCATTCTCCCAAAGATATTCCCTTTATTTGGTGTTTTGATGATGGCAGCGAGGAGTGCTGTGTAGCAAAGCAGCCCGAAATCTCCTGGAGGTTCAACGGGGTTGACATTGAATGAGAAGGTCATAGCAAATGAATCACACTTTTCCTTTCCCATGTCCATTCAGCGACCCCTTGTTTACTATAAATGGCTGAATTATCATTCTGGAACAGTTCATACACTGTATATAAAAGATAGACATAGCCACCATGATAACAACCAACGGGTCTGTGAAGTCTTACCATGAAGCCTAGAGCTGAATATTGTTCTGGTTGCTTTTTATGTTTTGAAATCAGACTGAGACTGAAAAATTCAAGAGACACGTCACATATATGTTGTAGCAACATTGCACAAGGGTCCTTGTGGACGTCCATGTGCATGCCTGTGTTTTTGACCATGTGGACTGATGCACAGAGAATTTACATTGCAATGCACCAACCTAACCAGCTCCCCAAGCAACAGACTTCAAGCAGATTTCAAAGATGTATAATAACAAATATAGGAGTATATAAGAAGTAAAAATAAGTATGTCTCCATCTGCATTCACAACAGTGAAGCCAAAGGAAACCAAGGAAAACAAAATACATTTTTCTTATAGATTCACCTATAAATCGAGTTCTTTTTGCAAATAGCAGATTCACCCCCTACTGGCCAACAGACGGAGGAACATGCAGGAGGAATCAGTGGTACTGAACAGGCCAATCACAATAACGTGGGCGTGTCGAGGACACAGATAGTTACATTTCAAGAGATGTGCATGCCAGGTTGCATTGTGGAGTTTCGGAGAGGTTTGCGGTTCTGGTGCAGTTGCCACGGTAACAGTGCAAAACGCAAATGTAACAGAAGAGATGAGGGTCACATATGTAAAAGTGTATTTTCAGTTCTTGTACCACAGTCTTAGGGAGCAGAGGGGGTGTTATGCTTTTTACTGCCCGTGGTAAGGAACAGTCTTTTAATCTGTTGTCAAAAGCAAACTTTGCCCTACAAGCTCAAAAGCTCAGTACAACTGAAACTCCAACAAATATTGCATTTTTAATCATTTTTTAAATGTTAAGAATAAACAGCAGCAGGAACCCACTGACAGAAACAGTGAGACAAATTTACACTAAAAGAGAAAAACTCCAACCATCCCACAGCTCCTTTTTTACGTGAGGGACTTCATCCACAGATATGCTTGAATTTTTTAAAGAGGCTGCTCCAGTTTTGAACTTTAATTAAACTGACAGAATTAGCAATTAAGAGGCCTCAATGGCTGACTCACTAAGGTGCAGCAATTTGAGAACTATCTTCATGGAGCTCTGATAAGATGATGCAACTGGAGATTAAATGTAAGTAAATCCTAAATGTGAGGACACACAGGAAGATCACACAAGACGTGTTTGTATAAAAATCCTACAGCACAGTGAGTGCTGTCAACATGTCCCAGGGTGGTTTATGGAAATGTAACAGGTTTAGACCTGCCTTTAAAGACTCTTACATACAGAGGTACTCCAAAACACAAAGAAACCTTCTCAACTCTCTGTTATGAGAAGTTCTGTTGCATGAACAAATCCGATTTCAGCGATTTTTCAATAACTCTGCAGTGTAAATGCAACATTATTGACCAAAGCTGAGCAGGGAATTATTTCCCAGCACTGCATTTGAGACTATACATCTCTTTGCCTCCGGCAACAGCTTGGTGTTCTGACAAATAGCTTAAATTGGACTGAAAGGGTGGCAGGAGATGGAGAAGCAATCTTAAACACCAGTACATCACTGTCCCATCAATGGTACACTATATTTGGCTTTATTACTCTGAGCAAATGGCAGTGAAAACAACAAACATGTTGCCATTTATTCATTTCCTCTGCAGCACATTTTGATTGCTACAGAAGAGAATAAATATGGTTAGGGGCTGGGGTTTCCATTTCCTTTTAAATGCTTTATTAAAGAACCAGACTCCTCTGATACGATCCTTTTTCAATCAACACAACTTTGCTCCCCTCTTTGTCTTTATGACCTGCAGGATCACAGTCCCACTTCTTTCACTAATTATTAATTGTTAACAGAGACACAGAAAGCCAAAAGTTTCATGCTGATCCATCATCAACTCGCTCACACTACAAATTAAAAAATTAAAATTAAAAAAGTTTTGTTAGCCTATTTAGCGATGCATGGTTATGAATGCGGAGCTGTTTCTTTGAATCATACAAACTCTGCATTTCTAAAGAGATGATAGAGAAAGTGAAATTTGTGCATCTTTTAATAACAGCTGATTCAGTTTTGGGCTTTTTAGGAAACCAGGAATCTTTGCTCACCAGGTGACAGACACTCTTACTGTCTTTGTTTATCATCCTGGCAATGTTTGTTTTTATTTATAATTTATAAATTCTTTACTACTGTGGAAGAAAGCAGGGTTCACCAACACGTATTTGCTCTACCTTCCTAATTAATCATATTATAAATGTGATATGTGAACACAATGATTTTTGTGTTTCAGAGACAAAGATGTAGATATCAAACGGAGACAAGGCACACACACACACACACGCACACACATATATACATATATATATATATATATATACAGAGAAGAATGATTGTTTTCCTGATCTTGTTACTCGCTCCTCAAAAAGGAAGCACTTAAGTTTTTAAATACAGCAGTCAAACCAACAGAGAGTAGGGGTGATATCACACACGGGGGCTCGTTCAGCTGCAATAAAAGTTAATCAGTTTCTAGTCTATTTTTCCATCAGCAAACTCACCTGGGTTTTTCCAATATCAATACACATTTTTAGTGGGAAAAAAAAATCCATTTAGTAAAAAGAATTACACACAGGGTTACCGAAGGACCTCCAACACACAGTTCTCCAAACTCGTTTATTGTTATCAAGCTTTAACTGAAGCACAGATGTGATCTAATTCGGATGCTCATTTTTCTGACTTTAATGGAGATCTCCTTTAGGGATATGCTGACTAAATCATCCTGTATATTCATAGACTGATTTGTATGTGAGGGTTATAGATAGCTTTCCTTTTTGTGTTCATTCTGGAGGGATCGTAGCAAAAATCGAGCACATAAAATTTCTTTTTACTGGCTGTAAGAGCATTTTTTCACTACATGAGAGCTGAGCATTTTCCCCAGCCAGCCTTTTCTATAATTCTGTGGAGGTGAAACACCAGCTCTGCCTCTCTGTAGTGAATGTTTCCCTCACCTTCAGTTTGTCTCTTGAACTCCTGTTGTCTTTCTGCCTCTGCCAACTCCTCTCTGTCATTTCATTTGGCTCCTCGTCTGTGATTTGGGTAAATATGGCAGACCCTCAAATAAGTTAAATTGTAACTTTACGTTTCCAGAAAGCTTGCACTATAAAATGGACATTCCAGACTGGATATTGGTGTTTACTTCATCCAGACTTATTAAACAATTGAAATTATGTAATTTATGAACAATGAGGAAATGTGTTGGGGTTTCTTGCCCTGACTGTTTTGTGCACCTCACAGTCCTAGTCTGACCCATAAAGCTACAAAACTGACGTTTACGGTTAATACGTCAGCTTGAAAACCACATTTACATTATGTATTACAGTATGAACAAACAAGAGTTAGGCTGGAAGTAACATACAGGAAATTTTGATATGAGATTTACTGGATCAGACTTGTGAAAGCACAGACAGACAGCTATCACCTGGATAGCACACACATCTACTCGCATTTAGCTAGTGACTGCGAGCTCAGCTGTTGTTTCAGGCTCATAGCTCAAACCTGAGGCCTCCAGTTATAATTACTGATAAGAGGGGAAAAAAGAAATTACTAGATACTAAAAAGTTTGGGAAGCACAAGATAAGTATGGCAGTGACCTATGTACGTCATTAAAGATGCATTTTGTGAAGAGAAAGGCAATGAAAGAAAATAATTCTGCTTTTCCCCTTCCATTTATGGCTAATATAAAAAGGAGTGAGAGAGTATTTAAATGAATCTTAATGCCTCCTCCCCTTATTAAACACCGTTCATAAATTCAAACTACTATGTCGAAAGTCAAGTCACAGTTTTATGACAAGAAACGCACAGACTGACAATGAGTAAAGTCACATCACTCTGTATAGTGTGAATACTTAAATCTCTGTTATTATCAGTGTATATAACAGTTTCATATATATATATCAAATGTCATATATGCCTTGCAATTGCTACTTTTAAAGCTTTAACATTTTCTATTGTAGTGTTTCATCCACTTTATTCCTCTCCCCAGGACACATTTATCTGCTCTTTAACAGCTGCTATCACTGATCGTATAACATACTGAGCTTTTTAGAGAAAAATTATATTTATTTTAAAAATATGCATTAGAAAAAAATCAGTTCATAACTACTAGATATATGTCCTTAATGAGAAAAATTGACGCTTGATTGCAAAACAAAACTCTGGAAGGTGTCATGAGCAGCTCTTGTGATATTTGTTTTATGATAAAACAATAAAATAAAATGAATTTGATTAAATGACCAAGCTAATAATCAGTTGATTAATCAGCATTTTTAAAAATGTGCTTTGGGTGTCTTATAAGCTACATGACATTGAGTGGTGGTGAGAACAGCTCTCTTCATTAGACCGTTTGTTCTATATAAGCAGGGCGTTACTGCTGAGCTGTCAGTCACCTTCACATTAAATTAACTTATACATAATTGCTATAAATGATAGAGGAAAATTGACTCGGAGCGTAACAATTTTAAAGCCATAAAGTGCACGTGTAATTCAAACTGTTACATCTTCTATCTTTGCAGCTGGATTGTTAATTGTAACTGCATCTTTCCCTCTTTTTCTCATTTTGATCCACATTTCCGACTAAATTGCCGTTTTCTCTCCTGAAAACTGTGCTTTTGGGCCTCACTTTGATCTTGTCACACTTTAGCCCTTGGACTGTTGAATTTATTTACACAAGGGCCTTAAACCACAATCTCCTGCTTGGCAGTCTTGTTTTTAATATCTGTTTTCAGACAGGCAAAAAATAAAAAATAAAAATGCTAAAATGCTTCTTGTGTATAAAGTAAATCCAACCACCATGCTTTGATTTCTCAGATGGGCCCATAAACGAAGCGCTGAATGACTTCAGCTTCCTATAATCTACTCATGTAAAACACACTCTGTGTTATTTGAAATAACTAGTCTAACAATATGAAATCCTGTCACATGCTGGATTTTGCCAGAAAAAAACACAACACAAGCTTTATATGTGCGTTTATTGTTGTGTGTGTACACAAACAGTGATTGTTTTCTGTGTTTAAGGTTGTAAGTGTGTGTCTGTGTGTGAGATGGAAAGTGTGGTATAAATCAGCTGTTAAATGAGTGATTTATCAACACAACATGATGTAAATTTCATTGTTACTGATTAAACTGCTCTTCTTCGACACTTTCCAAACAAGATGGCATCCCCTAACCACGTTTGTTTGTTGAATTAGCATGCAGAGCTTTTTGCCATTTTGTGTGCAAATAACAGAGGACTAGAACCACGTGTATGTACGTGCATTATCATATGAAATATTCATTACATTCCTATGTGAAGATTAGGTCATTTCAAGAAGCTACTATTCGGGAGATCTGAACATCATCACATCATGGATGAAGGAATTACTCCATGGATGAAAGCGGGAATCTTCATGACAGCAGCTCTGTGCACATACTGATCACATAAGTGTATTTTATTGTGGACAGTGACAAAGAATGCGCAGTATTGTACATCAATAAATACAGCCATAAGTCTTTTGAAATGATGGAGACGCAGCATTTTCTGCTTCTAAAAAGAACTTTGTGAGATATTTCTGTATTTGTCCTTGGCTGTCTTTGATTATGTCTGCTTTCTCTCCTTTTTTCTTAAACCTTTATATCATATCACTCTGCTTATCTTACTTTTTTCCCTGCCCTATCAGAAAATCCATCTTCATGTCGGAGGTTTTGCTACCTTTATAGAAAATCATTAAACTGGTGCTGATCTGACAATCTGCTTGTCCTCATATTACTCAACAAATGTTTCGTGGTATGAAAACAACATCTTATTTTATCAGCATCATTTAAGATCTTAGGAAAGGTTGGAGAATAAAGTTGTCAACCAGGAAAGGGTTTATGCTAATTGAAGCTGCTGGACTGCTTTGAGGCTGAGTCTTATGAACTGAGTACATCACTGAGTCCTTGCATCAGACTTCCATCCCTCCAATTTCTATAGTTTATCTGGTTTTGGGTCTTGAAATCAAAAGTTTAAGTTGAGATGCCAGGACCTTCCTCTCCTTAACCATCTCATCTAATTCCTTGGGAGGAGACACTGAGGCATTCCCAGCCAGTCAAGAGATGCTACTCTTCAGGGTGTTTTGGGTCTGATTGGGTTCTACTCGTGGCAGGACATCCCCTAAAAACCTCACCACCACCTCCTAGGCCAAACATGGAAGCTCATCAACTAAAAAAGTAAGTTCATACCAGACATAAGTTGCAAAAGCTAGAACAGCTTACTCTTTTATACCTGTTGCTTCATCAATTCAATTCAATTCAATTTTATTTATATAGCGCCAAATCACAACAAAAGTCGCCTCAAGGCGCTTCATAGATACAGAGAAAACCCCAACAATCATATGACCCCCTATGAGCAAGCACTTTGGCGACAGTGGGAAGGAAAAACTCCCTTTTAACAGGAAGAAACCTCCGGCAGAACCAGGCTCAGGGAGGGGCGGGCCATCTGCTGCGACCGGTTGGGGTGAGAGAAGGAAGACAGGATAAAGACATGCTGTGGAAGAGAGACAGAGGTTAATAACAGATATGATTCAATGCAGAGAGGTCTATTAATACATAGTGAGTGAGAAAGGTGACTGGAAAGGAAAAACTCAATGCATCATGGGAATCCCCCGGCAGCCTACATCTATTGCAGCATAACTAAGGGAGGATTCAGGGTCACCTGGTCCAGCCCTAACTATATGCTTTAGCAAAAAGGAAAGTTTTAAGCCTAATCTTGAAAAGTAGAGATAGTGTCTGTCTCCCGAATCCAAACTGGAAGCTGGTTCCACAGAAGAGGGGCCTGAAAACTGAAGGCTCTCCCTCCCATTCTACTTTTAAATACTCTAGGAACAACAAGTAGGCCTGCAGAGCGAGAGCGAAGTGCTCTAATAGGGTGATATGGTACTACAAGGTCATTAAGATAAGATGGGGCCTGATTATTTAAGACCTTGTATGTGAGGAGCAGGATTTTGAATTCAATTCTGGATTTAACAGGAAGCCAATGAAGGGAAGCCAAAACAGGAGAAATATGCTCTCTCTTTCTAGTCCCTGTCAGGACTCTTGCTGCAGCATTTTGGATAGCTGAAGGCTTTTCAGCGAGTTTTTTGGACATCCTGATAATAATGAATTACAGTAGTCCAGCCTGGAAGTAATAAATGCATGAACTAGTTTTTCAGCGTCACTCTGAGACAGGATATTTCTAATTTTAGAGATGTTGCGCAAAGGAGAAAAGTTACTGTTTATGTCTTGAAGGACATGTCCTGGTCAAAAATGACTCCAAGGTTCCTCACGCGTTACTGGAGGCCAAGGTAATGCCATCCAGAGTAAGAATCTGGTTAGATACCATATTTCTAAGATTTTCAGGGCCGAGTACAATAACCTCAGTTTTATCTGAATTAAGAAGCAGAAAGTTAGCGGCCATCCAGGTCTTTATGTCTTTAAGACATTCCTGCAGTTTAACTAATTGGTGTGTGTCTATCTGGCTTCATGGACAGATAGAGCTGGGTGTCATCAGCATAGCAGTGAAAATGTATGCTATGTCTTCTAATGATACTGCCTAAGGGAAGCATGTATAATGTAAACAGAATTGGTCCTAGCACTGAACCCTGTGGAACTCCATAATTAACCTCAGTGTGTGAAGAGGACTCTCCATTTACATGCACAAACTGGAGTCTATTAGATAGATATGATACAAACCACTGCAGTGCAGTACCTGTAATACCTACAGCATGTTCTAATCGCTCTAATAGGATATTATGGTCGACAGTATCGAACGCTGCACTGAGGTCTAGCAGGACAAGCACAGAGATGAGTCCACTGTCAGAGGCCATAAGAAGATCATTTGTAACCTTCACTAAAGCTGTTTCTGTGCTGTGATGAGCTCTGAAACCTGACTGAAACTCTTCAAATAAACCATTCCTCTGCAGATGATCTGTTAGCTGTTTGACAACTACTCTTTCAAGGATTTTTGATATGAAAGGAAGGTTGGAGATTGGCCTATAATTAGCTAAGACTGCTGGGTCTAGAGATGCTTTTTGAGTAAAGGTTTAACTACAGCCAGCTTGAAGGCCTGTGGTACATAGCCGATCATTAGAGATAGGTTGATCATATTTAAGATCGAAGAATTAATTAATGGCAGGACTTCTTTGAGCAGTTTTGTAGGAATGGGGTCTAAAAGACAGGTTGATGGTTTGGAGGAAGTAATTATTGAAGTTAACTCAGAAAGATCAATTGGAGAAAAAGAGTCTAACTTAACATCAATGGTACTAAGAGTAGCTGTAGATAATATTACATCTGTGGGATGATTATCTGGTAATTTTTTCTCTAATGATAAAAATTTTATTTGTGAAGAAGTTCATGAAGTCATTACTAGTTAACGTTAAAGGGATGGTTGGCTCAAAAGAGCTCTGACTTTTTGTCAGCCTGGCTACAGTGCTGAAGAGAAACCTGGGGTTGTTCTTATTTCTTCAATCAGTGACGAATAGTAAGATGTTCTGGCTTTGCGGAGGGCTTTCTTATAAAGCAGCAAACTATTTCTCCAGGCTAAATGATGATCCTCTAGATTTGTGACACGCCATTTCCTCTCCAGATTACGAGTCATCTGCTTTAGGGTACGTGTTTGAGAATTATACCACGGAGTCAGGTACTTCTGATTTGAGGCCTTAGTTTTCACAGGAGCTACAGTATCCAGAGTCGTACGTAGTGAGGAGGTGAAATCACTCACCTTTTTTTCACTTTAGATGTGTTTACACCACTGAATTAACCATTAGTTATTATTAATAATTGCTGCTTCTCTTCCTCCCCTCACCCTTCTGGCTTACTGGCCGCCCCTCCCTGAGCCTGGTTCTGCTGGTTCATCCTGTTAAAAGGAAGATTTTCCTTCCCCCTGTCACCAAAGCACTTGCTCATAGAGGGACATCCGACTGTTGGGGTTTTCTTTGTCTTCTCTTTTTTGTATTGTATTTTTATTTATTTTTGACAATATAAAGTGCCTAGCAGGAACTGTTGTGATTATATATATAAATAAGACTGGCATTGAAAACTGAAAAACTGTGGCACAATAATCAGTCAAGGCCTCAAATCTAGCTCAATGTTTTGTCTGGAGATGAATGAGGGCATGCACTTTGTACTTTGGTACAAAGGAGGATTTTCGTTTCATTACCGCAAGTAACATTTGCAGATGACAGTGCCTGGAAGGTTGGAGGTATGCACTAGGGAAAAGAGCAAAGAAAGTTAGCAGAGGCAAGACAGAATAGATGTGTGTGAGGACGAGGGAGATGAGTTTAACAGAGAAGCTGTAAGGAGAAGAGATACTGAAGGTAGATTAGTTTAAATACCTGGAAGAAGAGAGTGCGAGCAGAGAGGAGTAGATGAATGTCAGCTGTGATTTGTGACAGAAGAATAGCAGCAAGAGTGAAAGGGAAGGTTTGCAAAATACTAGTGAGACCAAATGATGTAGAAGAAATGGTGGCACCAGAGCTGGAGGTGGCAGAGTTCAAGATTTTAAGATTTTCACTGGGAGTGACCATGAAGGACATGATTAAGTGAGAGGCACAGCTCAGGTTGAGCTACTTGGAGCCAAGGTTAGAGAGGCAAGCCTGAGAAGGTTTTCACATGTGCAGAGGAGGAACAGTGAATATGTTGGACAAAAGATGTTGGGAAGATGGAGCCGCCAGGCAGGAGGAAAAGAGGAAGACCTCAGAGAAGAATAATTGATGTAGTGTAGGAGAACGGGCAGAGGGCTGGTGTGACAGAAAAGGATGCCTGGGACACGGGGAGATGGCAACAGATGAGAAAGAACTGACTGCATCTGAATAAACACAATACTATTTAAATCCCTTCTTAAAAAAATTATGCTCCTTCGCCATCATCATCTTTTTATGCTGTGAATAAATTAGGACAACAATATGACAACATGAAAGAGAAACATCCTGATTAATTGCACTGAATCTGCTTTGTGCTTTATGTAATAAACAACCTCACACACATTATGTTAAAGTAAAAAAAAAAACCCTACATAAAATAAATACTTTGACATTTTGGGACATATCTTTATTTTCTCTGAGACAGCTAAAAAAAAGAAAGACAATCGAAATAATTCATTTGTTGAGGAATTCTAAGGTGTCATGGTTGTGGAACTATTGCAATGCAAATAATAACGCAGATCACGCACAGGTTATTAGCTCTTATTTTTTGCTTTTCTCTGACATTTTGTAACTCTAGATCAAAGCACTGCCAGGATACTCAGCAAGTTTGCCGCTCCAAATGTCTGCAAGTGATAAGAGTATGAACATTTTGAACTTCGATACCCAGAAGTCCTTTAAGGTGACATCAATAAGAAGCACAGCGCCATCCCATGATGCAATGCAAAGTAATGAAGTTGAAAAAGCTGTCACATTGCTGAGGGCAGCTTTTTCTGGACAAAGTGCTGCTCTCTGCTGTATGGCAGTCAGATTGAAGTTCACTTTTAAATGTTGATGCTTCATTTCCTGTCACCAGAGCAGCCAGCGCATTCAACAGCAGTTTTATTTGGGGTGGCTCTGCTGCAGTTGGCGGGGATTTGATACACATTTTGGTTACAGCCACAATTCATCATTTATTCTCCTAAACAATGTCACTTATGTGATGTCAGCCACTTCTGGCTGAATAGAATAGAATAGAATAGAATAGAATAAAATAGAATAGAATAGCCTTTATTGTCATTGTACAGAGTACAACGAAATTGGAG